TAGTTGTTTCTATCATTTCACCTTGATAATACCATTTCTCTTTTGCAGCAACTTTACCTCCATCCTTGAACACAATTATTTTAGTTTTATCTCTATTTACGGTTAGTTTCCATTCATGATACTATGTTTCTAATTCATTTATTTCTGCTTGTAACCCGCGAATAGTGCTAGAGAGAAGTGTGATATCATCAGCAAATACTAGAAGAAATAGCTGTACTATATCTAGATGTAGCTGAATACCATTTGAACAGTTTTCATGAATCTGTATTGCTTGTTCATTGATAAGAAAGAAAATAAAAATAGACTCAAGATACAGCCTTGTCTTACTCCTATTTGGCTCTGAAACGTTTCAGATATTTCATTATTGTTTATCACACACATCTTTACGTTATCATAAATAAAACTTTTAAAAGTTTACGCATTTTACGGCTTAAGGAATGATTATCTAGAAGATTCCATAACTTTTCTCTTTGAACAGAGTCGGAAACCTTTGCAAAATCTACAAAGAGAACATAGAATTTGGTACCTTTCTTATTTAAGTATTTCTGCATAATTCAATGTAAAACAAATATGTTATCAGTAGTAGTATATCCTTTTCTAAAGCCAGCTTGGGATTCGCTTATCTTTCAAAGGATTCTGCCCAGAATACTAGACGTTTATTTATGATGGCAGTGAATATTTTACTAAAGACACTTAGAAGAGTTATCCCTCTATAGTTTTCAGTTTGATTTTTATCACCATGCTTATGAATAGGTACAATGATACCAATGAACCATGAATGTGGAAATTTTTTTTTTTTCAAGAATGACATTAAACAATCATTCAAGATATTGGAGTAGAATATCTGATGAGTGCAAGAAAAATTCGGAGATAGTATCATCTATTCCTGGTGATTTGTTCAGCTTCAATTGTCTAATACTATTTATGATTTCTTCTCGAGTTATTGGAGCGTCAAGTATGTCATTTGTCATTGAGTTATTTATATCACATCTTTGACAATAATTTTTATCGCCCTGACTAGCTGTATAGTTATTCATGGCATCATTAATTTCAGATGTAGAAAACAATTCTTTAAAATCGGAATTCCATTCATTGATCTCAATGTCATTTGTTTGTCTTGCTTTCCCATTCAATTTTTTCAGCGAAGACCAAAACTGTTTAGAATTGTTATCACTATTTTCTAATTGTTGTTGTTTCAGTTTCAAATAGTCACTTCGTTTTTGGTTACAAACTGCATTATACGATTTTCTAATGCAATGGTTATCTTCTAGAGCTCGATTTACGAAACCTATTTAAATATTTGCATCTTTCTTTTTACAGTTTATCACATTCTGCATCATGCCAAGTTTGAGCTCTGTATCCTCCCTTAGCAGTTCGCTTTTTTCATACCCGAGGCAGCTGTGCAAAGTGCTTCTACAATAAGGTCTATGCTCCTATCAATGTTAATAAATAAGAAATGTGCTGACTGCCTTACTAACTCTTGAATACTTTCTGAGAACATATTTTGTCTGAAGAGCTCAAGTTTATCATTATGCCAAACAAATCTATATGACTGTTTCTCAGTTGTTGTATGTTATGTGTGAAGCGCATGTAACTTCATAGTAAGAGGAAGATGGTCGGATTCTGTGCGGAAAGGGATTGAAAGTCAAGCACACTATCAAAATTGATGTTGAACTTAATATATAATCTACTACCTTCTTCCGTTATGACCAATGAACGTAGGGTCGCCTATTTCTGAGTCGGATCCACATCGTCCATTCATTATATGAATCTTGAGAACTGAGATCTTACAGCCGGGTATGACGATGGACTAAGATGGACCGTCGACTCACCTTGCATGCAATGCCTACAGGCACAATGATATTTCATGCTTTTTCATGCGTGTTGAAGATGTCTCCTCTATTGATTAACATCTTACGTGTTTGTCTTTCATAATGTGTATGTTGATATATGCAAAAGAGTGTCATACCCATAAAAAAGCTTAAATCAGCCATCGTATTAAATATCTAAATGTGGCATGACCACCGAAGATCGACAGGACTGGATGTTATTTGTAAATTGTTATGACATGCCGTTTACTTCCCCAGTTTAATTCCCCTAAAGAAAATCTTATCTTAGCTGATATCTCAATCCCCCAGCTCGACCCCAACCACCGTCTGCGACACCCGTCCTGGTTTTGCTTTTGAGGCGACCCCTCCTACCTGTTTCTTTTATAGTGATAGTGAGACTCCGTGGTAGTTACATCCTCAATAGTTTCAGTATTAAAGTTATTATTTTGTACGTCAGTTATCATTTACAGTACAACCAGAAATTATTGAGAATTTAAGATTGTAAAATTGTTTATATTTTTTTTCACTCATTACTCACGTATCAAATGTGAATATTAGCAGAACATAACTCCAGATTCAAAGACAGGTGAACAGTTAGTATTTTGTCAAGTCACCATGGGCAGCAATGCAGGCTTTAATGTGGCGGGGCATACTACTGATCAAAGAAGTTAGAAAGTCGTGGTCCATGCTGTTCCAATATCGGACCACCTCTCCTTTCATTTCAACAATATTTGTCAGATTTTTCTTATTGACACTTTCCTTCATAAGTCCTCAAACATTTTCTATTGGATTTAGGTCAGGGCTATAGCTTGGCCAATCAAATAATGTCATATTTTGGGTCGTTGTCCTGCTGGAAAATCCAAAACTGTCCATAGAACACGTGAGCAGATGGAAGTAAATGTCCCTCGAGAATATCTGAGTAGCGCTCACTGTTCATATTCCCTTCAAATACACAGAGGGGCGTTGCCCCTAACGCAGATATGCCACCCCACACGTTAATTTCGGACTGTGTTTTGGGCGTTGAAACAGCCACACAGAACTTTCATCTGAGACAATCACATTGTCCCAGTTAAAATTTCTATGCTGTTAGCACCAGTTCAACCTCGCTCCTTTTGTTCAGGTTTCATGATCGGAGTGAGTGAGTGAGTGAGCGAGTTTAACGTCACCTCGGCAATATTTCAGCCATATGGTGACGAGAAATGTTTTACATAAACAATAAATTAAAGCTAAATAATCAGTCATCGAAGGACTGTAAAATAACTAGAGTATCACAGATGGAGTCTAAACGGGCATTAACATGTAAAACTATTTTATTTACGAAGACAATACAATATAAAAACAGGCTATAGATCGCCAACAACTGAAGGTAGATCACCATACTAGGAATCATGGGGACTTACATTACTTTTGCTACCTGCATGGACCCTAGCTGGATTTACACCATCCCTTCAGCTGTTGGCGAAAAGTAGGAAAATTTAGCCACAAATTAATATGACAAGAATACTACGTTTAAAACACAGGACGTGAAAATTTTACTTTGAAAGTTTTTGGGACTTACGTACCCTCTCAGGAGGACAATAATTTTACACTACTTCAACCCCCTTTGAGGATACAGCCACTAACAATCTAAGCTTATAATCTACACTACCAATCATTAAAACACATCTATCTACAGAACATATTTATCAATAATTAAATCAATTTCTTTAAAAAAAGCAAGAATTAAATGAAGATGAACAGAATAGAAAAGATCCTTAACAGTTTTAACATTGAAATATTTATCCCTTATGATGGAGAATTCAACACAGTCAAGCAGGAGATGCTTGACTGTGACTTCTCATCACAAGGGATACAAAACGGAGGATCTTCACCTTTTAACAAATATTTGTGAGTGTACCTTGTATGGCCAATACGACATCGTCGCATGATGACCTCTTCAAATCTGGACTGACAACCCAAGTAGGTGTAACCAATATAGGGTTTTATTTCATGTAATTTATTAATACCTACTTGGTGTCCCACTTCTTCTGCATCAGATCGCGGATGTAAGTTCTAATGCTAGCTTTGTAATCAGAGTATGGAATAAGAAGTGGTGTCACAGATTTGTTGAGTGCTGCCTCAGCAGCAAGATCGGCCATTGTATTCCCAGAAATGCCAACGTGGCTGGGTAACCAACAAAAGACGATGTCGCATTGGCCAGTAGCAAGTTCATTATACAATTCGATAATTTCTAAGTAAAAGTGGATGTTTACAAGAAAGATTTTTATAGTCTGAAGGCAAGAAAGAGAGTCAGAAAAGATGATATATTGTTGATATTTAGAGTGTTTTTGAATATATTTAAGAGCTGTTAATATGGCGTTTGCTTCTGCTGTAAAAATAGAGCTGTTATCCGGTATTCTAGAAGATATTGTTCTGGATCCAATGACAGTGGCACAAGCAACTGCGCCACCATCCTTGGACCCATCTGTAAATAAGGATTTGTATGTATTATATTTACTTTTTAATTGATTATATTCTTGTTTATATTGTAATTCATTAGTTTCTCCTTTTTTAAATGCTGTTAATGTTAGGTCAACTTGTGGCCTAACCAACTGCCAAGGAGGAGAAGAAAGAAAACGGGAAGGAGCTATATTTACCAGCTCAATGCCAGCAGCAGAAATGAATGGTTTAATTCTTAAACCAAGAGGTGGAACAAGAGAAGGCTTTTTGTTATACAAATCCTCATAAAGAGGATAAAAGACACAGTTAAATGCAGGGTTAGACTCGTTAGAATAAAGTTTTGTTATATACTGCAAGGACAATTTTATACGGCGTTGTGTAAGAGATGGTTCATCTGCCTCGACGTAGAGACTGTCAACAGGAGAAGTCCTAAAGGATCCAAGACAAAGTCTAAGACCTTGGTGATGGACAGAATCTAATAGTTTTAAGTTGCTTTTGCAGGCTCCAACCATATACGATGGAGCCATAATCAAGTTTCGAGCGGACCAATGATCGATATAGGTGTAGGAGAGTGGCTTGATCCCCTCCCCACTTAGAATTTGAAACAACTTTCAACAAGTCAAGTGCCTTCAGGCATTTAGTTTTAAAGGATTTAATATGCGGCAGAAACGTTAAATGAGAGTCAAAAATTAAACCCAAGAACTTGGCCTCCTTTACAACTTTGATGGGAGTGCCATTGAGAAACATTTCCGGGTCCTTATGCAGTTTATATTTTCTACAAAAATGTATACAATTAGTTTTGGATTTAGAAAATTTAAAACCGTTTTCAAGACACCATTTATTTATTTTATTTAAACACAGCTGCAGTTGCCGTTCAATAGTATGCATATTCTTACCGCGACAAGAAATATTAAAATCATCCACAAAAAGTGATCCATCAAATGAATCGGTTAAAACCTTTGATAAACTGTTAATCTTAATGCTAAATAAAGTGACAGACAAAATACTGCCTTGTGGGACACCCTGATCCTGATTGTAATGAGCAGACAGGGTAGAACCACGCGAACTTGAATTGTCTGAAATTGGCTATCATTGAAAAAGCGGCCTCGCAATCCAAAATGTAAATATTTAAAATGCCATATTTCCACGTAGTGTCATATGTTTTTTCTAGATCAAAAAAGATATACACAGCATGTAGTTTAAATATTAATTAGAGCGTTTTGAACAAATGATTCTAAACGCACCAAGTGATCGACAGTACTTCTGTTTTTTACGGAAACCACATTGTATATCTGTTATTAGGTTATTGGTTTCCAAGTACCAAACAAGTTGATTATTTATCATGCATTCCATGGTCTTGCAAACGCAGCTAGTTAGGGAAATTGGCCTATAATTGGAAGGATCAGTATGATCACTTCCAGGTTTAGGGATGGGCACAATTAAAGCATCACGCCACGACGAAGGATATTGTCCAGATGTCCAAATGTCATTAAAAATAGATAAGAGCGTCTCTAAACATGATTCAGGTAAGTGTTTCAGGAGTTGATAATGTATACCATCAGCTCCTGAAGCAGTATCGTGAGCTTGGTCAAGAGCAGTATGAAGCTCATGTATCTAAAAGGTTTCATTGTAGTATTCCCATTTTGTCTGAATTGAAATGCTGTCTTTGATATTTCTGGAATTCAGGTACATAGTTAGATGAGGAAGAATGTTTGGCCAAAGTTTCTCCAAGTTTATTTGCTATGTCAGATTTATCAGTTAATGATTCATCTCCATCTTTGAGATGCTTAATGCTAGATTTAGAGCCCTTACCTTTTATTTTCTGGATCATGTTCCACACCTTTGATATCAGCGTGCGCGAATTGATGTTTGAGACAGAGTTTCCCCAAGATTGGCGTTTACTTTGTTTAAAAGTACGTTTAGGGGTTTAAAATTCTAAATTTGTTTAAATTGTGGACCATAGGATGGCAACAGAAATAATGTTCAGCTTTCTTCCGTGCCTTGCGAGCTTGTTTGCATTCAGCGTTAAACCATGGTTTACGTACATGAGGAACTGCAGAGGATTTGAGGATACACTTGTCAGCTATGTGTCTGAGCTCATCTGAAAAACATTTTATGGCATCAGGAAGATCATGGAAAAGTTCAGGTTTGAATTTGTCAGCACAGAAAGTTTCATATAAAGGCAAGTTAGCCTTCTTAAAGTTTCATCTTGATGATGGAGGAAGATCAGATGGATTCACGGGTTTTAGTATTGTTGGGAAATGGTCACTTCCACACAGGTCGTCGTGGACTGACCACTCAAATTCACTCAATAAGTCTGAGTCTGTAATTGATAAATCAAGGGCTGAATAAGTTCCTGTGCCAGGATGTAAGTATGTGTTAGAACCGTCATTATATATGCATAAATCATTATCTGAACACAAGTCTTCAAATAGTTTACCTTAGCATTAATAGCTGTACCACCCCAGAGGGGGTTGTGACCATTTAAATCTCCCATAATGATGAGAGGTTTCGGGAGTTGGTCATTTAAATTTTGAAGGTCAGTCTTCTGAAGAGTTGAAGACGGTGAGATGTATAAAGAGCATAATGTGAACGCAACATGTAACGTCAGTCGTACGGCAACCGCCTGGAGACCAGTATTAAGTATAACAGGGCTATGGATAATATTCTGTTTGATAAGGATCGAAGATCCTCCAGTGGCCCGATCACCCGGAGGTGAAAAAGAATGGTATGCATTGAAATGGCGTAGGTCAAATGTATCCGTCTGTTTTAAATATGTCTCCTGAAGACAAATGGCTGATGGTGTGAAGTCCTGGACTAATAGCTGCAAATCACTGAAATTATTCCTTAGCCCTCTGCAGTTCCACTGTACAAGATTATTAGAAGACATTATCTTTTGGGGGGATTTATTGGGGATCTACCCCGCACTTGTTTGGAGGGCGACAAGCTATGTGCCCTAGAATGGATATTTTCAGATACGTTCATGGCCTCAAGAGATCCGTATTTGTTGAATAATTGAATTTGATTTTCTGACCCCTTTGGGGCTCTGCCACTGAGTTTATTTTAAACATCTGGCTTTTTAATTTTGGTTTTAACGAGACCTTGCTGAGACTTTGCGGAAGACTGAGAAGCTGGTTCATGATCAGGGGGTGTCTCTGATTGGATTCGAGATGTACCAGGAAGTGAGTTTACAGTTTGTGTAGATGTAGCAGGCGAGACAGGTTTAGGAGATTCTGTTTTGACCCAGGTTAAGTTTGTTTGACAACTAGCAGATACTTTAGTTACTCTAGATGTTGCCTCAGCCGTTGTTCTGGCAATGGAAGCATAACTGTCTGTCTGTTCTGAGCCGTGGACTAGTTTCTTGGCATCTGCAAAACTAATGTTTTGCGTGAATTTTATTTGATTGATTGCCATTTGCTGTTTCCATACGGGACAGTCCTTAGAGTAAGCTGGGTGATTCCCTGCGCAGTTGATGCACTTTTGACATTACTGTTACAATCTTCTGTTGTGTGTGTCTTTTCACCACAGTGAGCACACACAACAGACAATGTACAAGTATTTACGCCGTGGCCAAACTTCTGACATTTAAAGCACCTGAGAGGGTTTGGAATGTAAGTCTCCACATTGAGGTTACAATAACCTGCCTTGAGAGATTTTGGAGCAATGGGTAAAGAAAAGGAAAACAGATAGGTGTTGGTTTTGATAGTTGTATCGTTTTTACGTGTAGAAAAACGTTTAACATAGAGTACACCCTGATCCTTCATTTCGGAAACGATATCTAGTTCCGACATGTCAGCCAGCAATCGCTCACGATCTCTAACGATTCCCTTGCTCGTGTTAAGGGTCTTGTGAGCCGTGACGGTGACGGGAATGCCGACAAAAGTTTCAGTGTTCAATAGGTTGTTTGATTGCTGTCTCTTGCCACACTCAACTAACAGCGCACCAGAACGTAATCTTTTAACGTTCTTCACATCGCCAGCAATGCCTTGGATACCTTTAGACACAGCAAAAGGATTTAATTCTAATGGTGTATCATCTTTGGTCTCAATGACAACAAAACGTGGCCAGTAATCAGTTGGTTTGGGCGGTCTGAGTTCATTGTCAACAGGGTCATTGTCAAGAGGACGTTTGGTTTTTTTGGTTGGAGTTTCATAAGCCATGGTTATTTTGTTAGATTTCATCATCCGAGCTCCCCACCCACCACGGAGTATCACAAGAACAATGCTAAAACAAGTGGATTTCCAACTTGCAGCACCAAGGATACCCGGATGATATACTCCAGCAGAAGAATTAAAAGATTAATAATTCCACCAGCTTGGCCATGAGCCACCGCCTTCTGGGCATAAGACTCTAGGCAAAGTTCATAACATTATATTTCAAAATCACAAACGTTTTAGATAAACAAGTAGGCCAAGACCGAAATTAAAACAATTCCAAATCAAATTTGTGCAATGACATATATATATATATATATAGTCTATACACAGGGCTTGGCGTGACCAGCCGATTGATAGAACCGGGCCAGTTCTACCACCCGTCTAGGTGAAGTCAGGGCCGAAGTGGTGTGTTGGGCAAAGGAACACTGTTCCTGGAACCAGTGCCCTCAACCACCAGAATCCCGTCCTCCATCGACACAAGTGCGCAACCCACGGCAAACGGGTTGGTGGACCAAATATACCTCCGGGTCCACAACGGGGGCTCGAAGAGCGCTTAGCGTTACCCAGCACCTACCACGAGGAGGTGGCTCTTCACGGGTGCCTATTTCTGGTTGTACTGTATTAAAGTGTTATCTTAGTGCGACGAAGGCTTCACCTTGATGTAAACCCACTTCCTACCTTGACAATCAATATCTTATTCACTGCACATGAGATGGTCGTATCACCCGGGTCAAGTGCACTGGTTCACACAGAACGTTTGCTATTTAATATAACTCTTTAAATTGATAACAGCCGTACACTCATCCGTTTTCGTGTTAGTCTGATATCAACTCAGATACCCATAACTTTTTTCGGAAAAAGAAACCAAAAAACGTTCCTATTATCTATATATAATCAACCAATAGTAAAGTAAAGGCTTGTAATGACGTCACTTGTATTCTCTGGGAATATGAACATAAATAGATCCATGTTACTATGTAATGGCATTTAACGAAGGGTAGACGATAGAAGGTTCCATAACACGAACGACCATCAGCATCAAGGTAGGTTTGTTTCGCTGACAAAATAGTTAAAGTTAGGACCTATTACAACTTATAATGTGTGACACAACACATAATGCCAAATGTATCAATGTGTCATTTTATCGACACATTTAGAACAAGATATGTCCTAATAGCTTCTAAAGTCTATGAAAGAACGAATTTTCTTCCATAAGATTGTTAATACATTGTATCTAATTTGCATGGAAAACCCCGATTCCAAGTCATCTCATAAATGTTATTATGCGATTTTGAAAATAATAACGAAGTTGATCCTGTGTTATTTCCACTCAGGTTATTTTATGAATAGGCTAGATGTAAGTGTATTACAGTTTGGCGTTTCTATTATTTAAAGCAAAAAAGCAATGTTCTTAATAGAACAAGTCGTTTTGCATATTGTCAAAAGTTATATTTGAAGTCGCAAACTGTAGAGAAAATATATTAAAAATATGTTTGAAATAGAACCGAAACACATTCAGAAAAAAGGTGACTGTTGTACACACCATATTTCACAAATCGAAGTACTGCAATAAGCAGGAGTTAGGTGGAATTTGTAGGAAGTACATTAGCGGTACTTTTAGATATGTGAAAATCCATTGTCAGAAGGTTGTTTGTTTGCTGTTGTAAAAACTAACGATTGTAAATGAAAAGCAGCGAGAGAATGGTAAGAGACAGAAACCTTTCCACAAAATGATCTGAACATTAAGTTAATCATGAGCCAATGCTCATTTTGGTTACAGGTGCGTTGTTGAAATGCCCTCCATCTGTCTACAAGAAAACCTTACGTTGGGCATGGCTATTTCAACCTTGTTCAGTCAATTTCTCAGAAACTCTTGGTTAAAAGACCACGCTTGAGTGCACATCAAGCTCTGTGAAATACTCTGAAGCTATTGAAGTCACCCCTCGTGACATACAGCTCTGTGGAGAGACTTTTGTCACTCTGAAACTGTCTGCATAGATCTAATTAAGAAGCTCATGAGGCGGTTTCACTTAACACTTACATCTCCATTTCAAGTACCTAAAAGCTAAGATAAATCTCTTGCCTTGTTTTGTTTTGCTAGGCCGGACAGAAATTGGTGGCCATTGAGATGCCTTCTTCTTGTCTAAGTGTGTGTCCACAAACGTTACATAGGTGTTATCAATGAGGACGTCCAGCGTTTCACATATTTATTCCCGATAAACTTCACAATACACTTGCTTTCATTTCTAAATAATGTCCGGACTCTCTGAAGAAAAATATGTCAGTATCTATGCTCAACACGTTGATTAACATTTGTCCAATGGATGATGTAATGAAGATTTCAGACATTATAAAACTTCAGTTCAAACTTTTGAGTTTATTGGAATCAAATGGTATTAATTCCGGTTCTCGTAATGATTTGAGTCAAAGTCCTTCCTTGAAAGTCAGAAGATGAAATGTCATGATGGAAACATGCTCTAATGTCTACCAGGTGAATTTGTCATATTACTTTTCACATCTGTTCAGTCAGGTTACAAAATGTCCAAGCAGATCAAGGTCACTGGAGTGGAAGGAGGCAGAGTTGGTCAGTCCAATGCTGCTGGTATCGTCTACGGCGGGATGGGTAGTAGAGTCACGACCACTCACAACCAAGGTTGTCAACTCATACAGTACTTATGATCTCTAAAGTAGTTTATGTGGCTAGAGTGTTTGTATCATATTGGTGTGGCCGCTGAGATGTTTCTTTATTAGGTCCATATGATTAAAAATACCGATGAGGTGATATGTGACAAGACATGTAGTCTTTATTTGGTAATAAATCGTTTAATAGTTAGCATATCGTCATTTGCTGGGCAACCAGCCTAATGATTATAAGAGCTAAACTGAATTTGCAGCTACATTGCGAGCACTAAAACTGTTGTACCCTTACCTCATTTCTAAAATACAAACCTTTAAACTGATAACTTTTGTGTTAGGAACTGAATTGAGGGTACATGATCTCGTTTTCGATCTGGCTGACGTAAACACCAATAACAATATTTAGCGCAAAGTCCCGTTAATTTGCACACGAGCTCGTTAAATCACGGGTGTGTATAAAGGGTTGTTGAACATAACGCTGTGGGGAGAGAGTTCACTGTGTAACTGTCATTTCCTTACATGTTTCCTTATACTGATTGAAGGTTGTTTACAATGATATATTTTGAATATACACGAGCACGGTCAGTCTTGAAATGTAGGTCAGCTAGACCATGGCAGACAGATGTGTATAACTCCAGTGATGTGATAAGTCCGTGTATTAGTCTGTGTCGCACAACACAACAACCAGTCTTCATATAGCTCTTACACTCAGAACTTCCACGAACTCCGTCGAACACGCGACATGACAAAACAAAATAAAGCCAGCTAAGGGAGGCAGCTCTGAAGCGCTATCAAAAAGGCGTACCGCTAAAAATACTATTACCATTGAACATATATGATGAGAGATGTGACCCATAACCCACACTCAAACCTTTAAACATGGTGACCCACAATGACTATTACCTAATCAATGATAATACCAATTAAAAAAAACACACTCTCTCATAACACATTAATCATATGATATTCTGAACAGTGTCAGTCAATGAAAGGTTTCCAGTAGGCTGTTCATTTCTAAAGGTAGCATTTCCTTGTGTGTTTTGAAATATGTTGTCATTTATAATTTACTGTTTGAATAATTATCATCAAAAGCGCACATCCTGTTCATAATCATGATTATTCTTTGTTAAAATAGACAGCTCATTGTATGATCCAAATATCACAAACATTTGTTAATCATACCTGGTTAATGATCCCGTAGAAAAGTATATGTGACAACCACAGCGGGGCCATGTCTGCTTCAGTCGGTGATCCGACTAGTGGCACTAGAGGTAAGACGTCTCCCGGACAGATTCCTAAGGAATAATATATCCACTACTTTGAGAGTATACAATGTTGGCCTCGTCTGTACAAGTGAACAGAAGACACCTATATACACTAAGACGTGCACGCACGCACGCTCGCACCCTCACACGCATGCACTCACAAACATACAAATATATACTGAACCACAACAGAAATGTCGCACCGATAGCAGTTTCTTAAAGCACACACTTTAACTCACTCTAATTAACAATCAGAACGGAGGATTGAGTTGAAACTTGACAATTATGGTTAACACATTTTCGGAAATCACATTTAGAGTTCACACAAACAGATCACCAAAAATGGTGCCATTAAGATACCCCAAAGTCAGTATGTGTGTTGCCTCTATTGGCATCGATGAAAGGTGTTGCATCGTCTGTACATGGAATGAAGTAGCCGGTTGATGAAGGCCATAGAGATCGACTGTTTGAAACACAGTATCGGCTTCCATGAGATAAAAGCACAGTTCTCCATTGTCGATAACGCAAATTACGATGATGAGTTGCCCATTGCAGTCGGTTTTGGCGATGATGAGCGGTCAGGACAGAACTACGATATGGTCTGTGACAGCAGAGGTTTCTCCCAGCGCAAACGCCAACGCCCACGCACTGTATCGGCATTGATGGGTCTGTTGTCCCAGTGGTCTGGCATGCTGTATCCGTCTCCCTGGGGAAGCGATCCTGCAGGTGGTGTCGGTATTGATATGTGGTGTTACTGAAGGTCGCCCACTGCGTGGACGGTTTTGGATGCTGTTAGTGACCTGATACCACTCCTGTAGTCGGTAGATTGTCCTAACATGAACATCAAAATGATTGGGTACCCTCCGTGCAGTCTGGCCAACTTGCAATCGTCGTGGCATGGTGATTGTGTCAAAACAAAAATGATTTCAGGCGAGTTTGGAACTCGCTAACATTGGTAGGGTTGTCACGATATGCACGTGCATTTTCATTTTCACGAATGTCATACGGAACCTTTTACCACGTCTGCCATTTCAGGTGTTCTAGTTGATATTTTTTTTCATCAGAAAACACACTGATGGTGGTAATAACTGCCAATTTGGATTGATATATATGTTAATAAAACGATACAAACATAATACAAACACCATTTTGTATGAACAAAATCTTGCATTGTGTTTTGAGAAGCGACTATTCTTTTGTGGTTCAGTATATATACACACACATACATACGTACAGACATTACATACACATTACATACATACACACATTACATGCGTGTAGTGCATATGATTTTTATACTAGATCAATTTGGAACGAAAATTTGAACTAAGATACATTTGATCCTATTTCCAGGTCCAGACATCGAGCTGATGACAGTCGAAGATGTTCAGAATCTGATGATAAGAGAACGTTTTCCTGAATCAGTACGAAAGACATTTGAGGAAAACGGCATTGACGGCAAATACTTCGTGAACCTTTTGGAAGACGGCGTTTTGGATGCGCTAGGTATTACGTCACCTCTTGATAAAATGAAGATAAAAACAATTCTGGAAAAACGTTCGAAATAATCCAGTTGACTACTTAATTGATGGTCACATTTCGGGTTGACTCTGTTTAAACCTTTAACAATGTACACGGCATGGAACATGAACTCTGAAAGTACCAGAGTATTAAGTGATATTGAATGTCATTCATCACATCAAAGTAATATTTGTTTTAATCATACAAAGTATTATTAAACATCGTAGTTTAATCAAATAATGTTTTGTTTTTTATAAGGATTACTCATTTCTCATCAACGATATTATATGATGATAATGAATGGATAATTAACGTGATCTGATCACACCGACATTCTACTGTGACCCCTGCCTTTATTGAAAGTAGAACATTTACTTATAGGCCAGATCATATTGTCTCTTTTATCCGACGGAGTTAATTGGGGCGTGAAAGGTAAAATAGGTGTAGAACATTTATGAACAGATCACTGAAATTCAATGAAGACCCCTGGTGTTTCGAAAAGGGAACGCATTTTCTACTCTTGCGGCTGTACATGCCCCTGATGGTGTCCGGCGTCGAAGTGTTGTTTTTTGAGAGTGTCGTGACCTTTTCACTACATGGTGGATGAGGCATCATGGTCAAAGAACAAATGGGCAAATGGTGACGACGACTGTGGCTGCATGTGAACCATGCTTGTAGGCTATCGTTTATTACAATATGACACTAGGTGTTCATTGTGAAGGGTAACCAGGTCTTGTCCTACCAGCATCGCCAACCGCTGACGTTTATCTGAACAGGCGGACGTACGGGAATTAAATAAGTATATAAACACACACACACACACACACACACACACACACACCGTTCATTACACTATAAGACCAGGTGATTGTTAATAAGGGTAAACAGGTCTTGTCCTACCAACATCACCCACCACTGACGTTTACCTGTACCGACGGTCGTACTTGTATGTTAGTACGCGTTGTTGATTTTACTGCAATGTACTTCCTGCTGCTGCAGGCAGTATCCAATGGCTTGGGAAGAGAAATGCAGATTATTTGTAGCCAACTCGTCACTGAGCATCTATTGTGTTTAAATGTTGAGTTTTTGAAAAGAAATAATCGTTTTTTCATCCTTAGCATATATTCATAACAACTGCATGTTTATTTTTGTCAAATCCCTTGTCAGAAAGTGGCCCCAGTGCGGAGAGTTTCTGGACTTTTGTTAGTCCAGAATTAAATTGTGACGTGTTTAGCCTCATGTGAGTGTATGCTTGCCGCGGTGACAATGTACCTTTCTGTCTGTTATGACAGCACCTGGAATAATCGGACCATATCAATGTATTTCACACAATAGATGCTCAGTGTCGTCACAGTGAATCCTGAATGTTTGCTGTTTGCTGGAATATTACTTAAAGCCACGTAAAACCATACTCACTCACTCCTCACTCATTCACTCACGCACGCACGCATACGCACGCACACCTGTTTTGGACCCCACCTTTATATACCTCACTGCACAGAATATATATGCTGATAAATATTGCTCTTTGAGGCGTTAAACAACAAATTAACCAATATACATATTTGCATATGGAAAAAAAACACATCCACATCAATAAAAAAAACTCGCCACCCCGTCTCGCATGAATGGAGAAGGCATAGCGAATTCAGACAAAGCTGGACCAAATCCCCATTGTGAGTTAAAATTGATGGCACCCACTATCAACGGCAGAGAAACAAAACCAATTGTTTTGAACGAGTGCATCAGTTCTTGTCATCTAACACTTGACCCTCTGAACACATGTTTGTTTTAAACTTCGATCCACACGCATAGGATACCCAGCTTCTCCGAACTCATTAATATGTGTTACTTGTGAAATGAGACATCCATACCTCAAATAAACCTATGACTGCACGTTGTACCCGTGTAATGTAAGACACAGAGTTACTGGTGCATTAGATCTTGCTATCACCCACTTGACACTTAACACATGTATTCTGAACGTCGATCCACACCGAACCCTCGTCTCTATAATTAGTTTCACTGAGTAGTATAAATGCATTCAGTGTTTCATGCATATGCCTGTTACCATTAGGTGACTGATGTGATGTTTATTACAATGTGACTGTCTTTTCTCTCTGTACGTGAAAAGTACTATGAAAGCATCATGTAAATGCACTACGGTATTAATCTTTGATAAACATTAATGAACCTGCTGCCACCGCTTGACATGTGTGTGATATCTACTACAATGTGATCGTGTTCCTCTTTGTATCCGAAATAGTACTATGAAGGTATTACGTAAATGCACTACTGTGTTATTGCAGCTTCCTTTCCGTGGCACTATATAACACAGTGTAGCATCTCCTTAGGCCTAAAGGCCTAGATTTCTGTATATAACTTTTGTTACAAACTCAAAGTAGTATTCTTACTAATATCATTGTTAATAGTATTAGTACTTGATATTTATTACGATGTGACTCTTTTATTCTCTCTGTACTTGAAAAGTACTATAAATCCATCAGGTGACCGTATTAACCATATTAAACTTTGATAACCATTGATATACCTGCTACCACTACTTGACATATGTGATACTCATTGCAATGTGACTGATTTTCTCTGTGTACTCGTACAATACTATGAATGTATCAGGCGATGGCACAGCGGCATTAACCTTCATGGACATTGAAATACCACTATCGGACATCTGTACATTTATCGCTTTGTGAATGTATTCTCACTCTGTATTGGAAGAGCACTAGAAAAGGATCAGGTAAATGCACTACTGTACTAATACAGCATTCTACCCAAGGGATTATAACTTGTTGTTGCATCCCCTAAGGCCTAAAAAGCCTCGATGTTTTTATGTATACTACTGACGACACAAACATAACGTATTCTTTCCTGTTACGACTACTACTTGTAATATCATCAAATATAACAATGCAGCTTTGTAAATGAAATTGTTCTTTATAAAAGCTAACAGCTACTCTGCCCATGAATATAGCTACCTTCTGTAACTGTATCCCTGGTGTACTGCAATAAAAAAATGAAAAAAATAAGTTTCCACTAATAACAGTATAAATGCATTCAGCGTTTCATAGAATTAGATCTAAGCGTTGGATACATAATACATTTCTCTGAAGCAGCTACACATGATCCGCACTGATCCCATTGTATACATTGTTGCCTTTGTTTGAAATGCAAAGGTTGGTGTGACTGGTATCCTGTAAACAATGGAAACTGTATCCTTGGTTGTCCTTGGAGAATATGTTTCCTGGGAAATGACAGTTGCCTTCTCGGAGAATTGCAAATCTTCTTTATCAAAATAAAGATATGTCCCTGCCATGCATCGGTAATTTCAATAACCAAGGCTGCACTCACATTGCTAAGCCTACAGCAGACCACACGTCAGGATATTCAAGGATATGTGTCCCATTAATGGTAATACTTCATAGTATACGCTCAAAAAACCGTTAAATCAGGAGGCATGTTTTAAGGGGTTAAATGAGAGTATAATGTAAGAATAATGATAAAGTCGTTAACATAGTGCCTGACATGTAGTTTTACATGTTTGATTTCGCCATATCGCACTGCACAAACACCAATTTGTTAACAACTTTTACCCTTATTTACCCACCTGTTTACGTCCCTACCTGATCCATCTCCTGAATATTTTAAACGAGAGAACTCCTTGATATATATCGTCTTATACGGTATGGTAAGAGAGATAGAATAAAAAGAACTATGCTGATTAACGACTACGAGACGGTGGATTACAAATGGTAGATGTCTTATCCTATTGTAAATACATGAAAATAAAATGGGTAAAAAGGCTGCTTTCCTCAAAGACTGTATGGGAACACACTTGCCACTGTGAATTATATATCCATTTGAATGTGTATCAGTGCAGTCAGTAAGTAGTATCCCACTGTGGTCATAACCACTGGGGGCGGTGGGGTAGCCTAATGGTTAAAGCGTTGGCTCGTCACGCCCATTTCTGGTGTCCCCTGCCGTGATGTTGCTGGAATATTGCTAAAAGCGGCGTAAAACCAAACTCAGTCAGTCAGTCTTAACCACTGTGTATCCCACCTCTCTGTGTGAGAGAATTTGTTCGTTCTGTAATTGTGTGGAAGACGAGATACATTTTCTATTGAAATGTTATTTTTATCAGGATCTTAGATATCATTTTATAAAGGGAGATTTTAATTATGATAACAATGTGCATTTATTAAGTATTTTAATGTCATCAGACCCGCTAATTGTAGCAACCACTGTGAATAACATGTTTAGAGGACGACTCCTATTCCTGTAAAAATTATTACCCATTTGTACTACTTCTTATACCTTACTCAATGCAGTCAGTAAGTTGTATCCCACTGTGGTCATAACCACTGTGTATTCCACTCCTCTGTGTGAGAGAATTTGTCGGTTCTGTAATTGTGTGGAAGACGAGATACATTTTCTATTGAAATGTTATTTTTATCAGGATCTTAGATATCATTTTATGAAGGGAGATTTTAATTATGATAACAATGTGCATTTATTAAGTATTTTAATGTCATCAGACCCGCTAATTGTAGCAACCACTGTGAATAACATGTTTAGAGGACGACTCCTATTCCTGTAAAAATTATTACCCATTTGTACTACTTCTTATACCTTACTCAATGCAGTCAGTAAGTTGTATCCCACTGTGGTCATAACCACTGTGTATTCCACTCCTCTGTGTGAGAGAAGTTGTCCGTTCTGTAATTGTGTGGAAGACGAGATACATTTTCTTTTGAAATGTTATTTTTATCAGGATCTTAGATATCATTTTATGAAGGGAGATTTTAATTATGATAACAACGTGCATTTATTAAGTATTTTAATGTCACCAGACCCGCTAATTGTGGCAACCACTTTGAATAACATGTTTAGAGGACGACTCCTATTCCTGTAAAAATTATTACCCATTTGTACTACTTCTTATACCTTACTCTAAAACGAAATGTACATAGTTTTTAAATTGTGTATAGTGTCTCATAAGCCTTATTGGCTGGGTGAACGGTATTTTACTGCGTCTATTGTGTATTTTATTTCATGTAATCGTTCACGTGACACTTTAATAAACAATATCTGTCTGTCTCTTAACTGTCTGTCATAATGGGGGCGTTCTTTTAGATTGCAGGTAAAAAAGGCAACATTTATCGTGACAGGCCAACCGCGTAGCACGCCAGTTTTTTCGTGTAAGCCCGATAGGTTGCAACGCTTTATATTTAAATAGCATTGAGGGCTTGCTCAACTTTCATTATTTATGAGACCTGAAGTTTTATCGTATGACATTTGATGATTTCAAAATGCTGTTATCTCATCAATATTTTGAAATCATAAGAAGGTATATTACGGCAAGAATTAGAATTTTATCTTTTAAGCAAATGGAAATGGAAAAGTTAAAAACTGTTGCTGGAATTCAAGGTAGTGACAAAGGGCTTTAATTTCACAAAGGTAAGTATTGTTATGTTTTGGGGATATTGTTCTTACTTTGTCATCCAGCACATCGTTGGCATGCAGCTGGATTGTGGCAAGACTTGGACCCGTGACCATATTTGTGGCAAGTATCAACCCTTAAGTTGCAATATCCTGCTTTCAGCGATTTCGGATGCATCGAGAGACAAAATGTGAACAGATAGGTGTTGGTTTTGAAGACATCATTATTCTTTTTAACTGTAAAGCGTTTGACATGAGTAACGCCTTGGGATTGCAGCTCAGTAACGATGTCAATTTCGCTCATGTCTGACAGGCAACATCCAATATCACGGACGATGCCTTTGCTGGTATTTAATGTCTACAGGAACATTTGCTAAAGACTTTGTTTTGGATTGTATTTCTTTCCTGCATTCGATTAGCAGGGAACCAGATCTCAACTTTTTAATGTCTTTCATATCTCCAGCCAAATCTTCGATGCCCTTTGACACAGCAAAGGAATTTAACTTGAGAGGGCCACCTTCTGGGGCACACATAACAATTAAACGAGGCCAATTATCAAGGTAATTGTAAGTTGTTTGTGCTTCATCATCTGAAGACAACGAATCATCAGATTCGTGGGAATGGTTTTTTTAGTGGGGTGCCATGGTAGGAAAATATATGATTCACCCTCCTAGCTACCCACCCACCATGGAGTGTCAACAAGGACGATGCCTCATGTCTATGGATCTCCAACAGACGGCACCAAGGATACTACGAGGGTATACTCAAGCAGAAAATATCTTGAAAAGATACATCCCACCAGATTGGCCCATGAGCCACCGCCTTCTGGGCATTAAGACTCTAGGCAAAGTTCATGAAAAACGTATTATTAAATCAAATAATGTTAAATGAACAAAGGGTGCCAAGACCAAAATTTTAACAATTCCAAATCAAATTTTGTGCAATTACATATAATCAATGCACAGGGCCTGGCATGACCAGCCGATTGATAGAACCGGGCCCATTCTACCACCCGTCTAGGTGAAGTTAGGGCCGAAGTGGGGTGTTGGGCAATAGGAACACTGTTCCTGGCTCCTATGCCCTCAACCGCCAGAATCCCTTCCTCCACCGACACAGGGGCGCAACCCACGGCAAACAGGTTGCCCAATTCGACTTAAGGCCAGCAATGGGGTGCTGTTGACCAAATATACCCCCGGGTCTATACGGGCCTATACAGAAGGATGCAGTGTTGGGGAGTCTACATATTCTCCGGAAAGTTCTTGGTGGGTTCGACTAGGCAATGTTTCCTGGTAGAAGTCCCATTCGCTGTTTGGGCTGCGTGTAGAGGGGGCAAAGGCCCTGAGCTGATGATGAGCCTTACCAGCCTGACTCTGCCAGGATCACCCGAACCCTCTCTGCTGCATTTTCATCTTAATCTGTAAAACATAATAATAATAATATGTAGTTGATTGGACAAAAGAAGACATCCAGAGTCTTGACCGCCTGACCAGAAGGATCATGTCTGATAACAGAGCCCACAACCCTCGTTCCCCTTTCAACCGTTTATATATGCCAATGAGTTTGATTAATGCGGAGGCTCTTCATGATAGAATTCTTTTGTGTACTTTTGCACATATTTATTTGTCGGATGATCCTCTGGTGATGCATTTCAAGACTCATGATGAAAGCAAGGAATTCCACAGCTATTTTAAGCGTGCCAAGGTTGTTGGACAGAATCTGAAAGTTGAGGTTGATTTTGCCGATGGCGATGTACTGCTGGACGGTACAGCGATGGGAGTAGACCAGGTGAAGTCCTTCACCAAGTCTGCCCAGAGTCGGTCTTTTGTGGAGAGGCTTTCTGAGAAGCCATTGCATCGTGTGTACATGCAGTGTGTGGAACAGAAAAGCAAACCCACCGACTCCTTCGCCTGGATGAAGTCGGCTGGTCTCAAATGTGAAACTGAGGGCTTCCTTTTTGCTGCTCAGGACCAGTCACTTCCCACTCGTAAATGTGATTCTTAAGGAAAATATTAACATGAAATGTCGACTGTGTAATGAATTTACAGAGACTGTCCAACACTTTGTCAGTGGATGCCCTTCTTTGGCACAAACAGCATATCCCAAACGACATGATGGAATGGCTCGTTGCTTTTACTACCGTCTCCGACATGTCTGTGGCTTAGACTCCGAGGTCCATCCATGGTACGATCCTGAACATGTCCAGGGCGTCATGGAAAACGACAGCTTTAAACTTCTCTGGAATAGGTAAGGTTTTGTTACGAATTCGCCAATTTTCACTGGTTTTTATCTTTATTGAATTCAAGACAATAATCTTTTCAACGTTACGCTTTTGTTTTTCAATACATCGGTTCATGTGTAAACAGTACATTTAAACAGTATGGGATATTTTTGCAAAATTCAGTTTAGAACAGTTGTCTGAAGTAAGTGGCTATATTTATACTAGTGAGTCTAAACTTTTGATGGGAAGTATATAAGCAATGTATCTAAGGTCAGTTATTTCGACTGCAATGTAATTTCCATAACAAAAGGTATAAACGATATTACCTACTGATCAGAAAGGCTTATTAGTACCCTACCACCGGCCCATACCGTGTCCCTCTCTCTCACGTACAGACACAAACACTCCCTAACATACATATCGCTCTGGCCCATAGACCCGATATTTGAACCTCTTAAACAGACACCATGTGTATGTCAAGAAAGGCACACACGTTAATAGTGGTGCTCAGTCATGGGTATCACTTCGCCATGCGTTTCTAATGATCTCAGTACATTATGGCGTGGTCGGTATCTGTAACGAACCTGATGCGACAGTTATATTACAGAACCATTGAAATACATTTTAAAGTAGTGTCAATCTTATAACACTCTATTTACCCATTACCAATTATTTACGCGCGTATTAGATACATAACAAACCGAAACTTGGTCAAACGAGATTTCAAGGGTACTCAAATCCATGTCCTTCATTCACAAGAGTTACGTGTATTATACATGCTAGAAAACACGCGAAAACAATGGCCAGATTTGCATACCCGTGAAACCCATGTAAATACAGAGTTGAGTGTTAGTTTATTTTAACACCCCTTTAAACGTGTGTAAATGTGACAGCCAGATGATGCGTGGATTTCAAACGTTGTTCATATGGTCGCCGGATGAAACCTATATTCCTCACGTTAGTAAATGTGGGTAATACAGTCATTTTGTGTAGTGATTAACGCCAGAAAAGTCCACAGAAAACAGATTTTGCTGGGAGCAAGCACATATAATGTTCAACAAAAATATTTGAATGAATGCGCTAAAGTTATATTACTTATTATTTTAAATCTTAGGTGTTCCTCTTCAGTAAACAACTCTCACTAACATCTTCATTCACATTGTACTAATCAACAAAAGTATTCGGTTTGTGTTATCTTAATGCGATGAAGGCTTCACCTTGATGTAAACCCACTTCCTCCTTTGACAATCAATATTAAATTTACTGCACATGAGATAATCGTTTCATCCGGGTCAGGTGCACACAATGTATGTACAGGTTCACACAGAACGTCTGGTATTCAATATCACTCTAGATCGTTAAATGGACAAGAGTCTTACACTCCTATTGCTCTTGTGTGAATCTAAACTCTACTCATATACCCATACCGTTTCCAGGAAAAGGAACCCGTCATATAACTTATATATAATCAACCAATAAGGTATAGGCATGGCATGACGTTACTTAATGAGATGTATTCTCCGGCAATATGACCATAAATAGATCCATATCACTATGTAATAGTATTTAACGAACCGTAGGCGATAGAAAAGCCCATAACACGAACGGCCATCATCATCAAGATAGGTTTGTTTCGCTATCAAAATAGCTCTGTGTTGTTAAAGTTTAAAGTAATGACCTACTACAATTTATTATGCATGACACAACACATAATGCCAAATGTATCAATGTGTCATTTTATCGACATATATACAACATGATATGGCCAAATAGCTTTTTTTAACGACGAATTTTCTTCCATAAGATAGAATACAGTGTAGATCAATGATTTGGATGTTTTTCTGATGCTTACGGCATTGTATCTAATTTGTATAGAAAACCCCAGGCTAGAAAAGGCTAGATGTAAGTGTATTACAGTTTGGTGTTCCTATTATTTAAAGCAAAAAAGTAACATTCTTAATAGAACAAGTCGTTTTGCATATTGTCATAAGTTATATTCGAAGCCGTAAACTGTAAAGTAGATATATTTAAAATATGTTTGAAATAAAACCGAAAGACATTCAGAAATTATTTTGACTGTTGTAAACACCATCTATCACAGATCGAAGTACTACAATAATCAGGAGTAAAAGGGAATCTGAAGGAAATACATTAGGTGGTATTTTTAGATATTTGAAAACCGTTATAATAATGGTCAGAAAGTTGGTTTTGCTGTTGCAAAAATTAACGATTGTAAATGAAAGTCAGCGAGAGAATACTAGGAGACAGAAACGATTCCACAAAATGATCTGAACGATAAGTTAACCATGAGCTAATGCTCATTTTGGTCACAGGTGTGTTGTTGAAATGCCCTCCATCTTCAATGTCTACCAGAAAACCTTACGTTGGGCTAAACTCTTGGTTAAAAGACCATGCTTGATTGCACATCAAACGCTGTGAAATGTTAACATCAATACTCTGAAGCTGTTAAGTCATCCCTTGTGCCATAGAACCAAGTGGAGAGACTTTCGACACTCTGAATCCGTATGCATAGATCTAATAAAGAAGCAAAGGAACACTGATCCAGATTAAATTCTTCATTTTGGCTTCTATCATGTCTTCGTTAAAACATCTTTTCAAATACAGCTGTCGCTTCTTATCCAACTTTATTCCGCTCACCGTACGCGAATACATTTGTCTTAGACCTTGCTCTTTGAGATCAGCCATCTTATTTTTCCTGTTGTTGTGTGTGACATCACCTAATGCTTCATCATAAT